CCACACCTCCCAACCCAAACCTGACTTCAAAGCCTGTGTTCCTCCTCTATCCACAGCTGTGGGACAGTGTGTCTAGGGGCTGACAGGACAATGTCATAGATGAGAGATGGAAATGAAACTGTTCTACTTCTGTTCTGCTTCCATGACTTCTGTCAAAACGAATGTTCTGTGAATCCTACCACAGATTAGGTACTCAATAAATATTTGTTGAATGAACTATGGATTGGATAAAGGAGAATAAATATTTGTAAGGGTAAATGAAAGACTTAACATAATAGGTACATCAACTTTAAATGAGCACGTAGCTGTTTCAAAAGAGATCCTCTCCAGTTCTGGATGAACCACCTTCCTGAGTCCTGAGAGAATAACTGGTGAGATTACCACAAAACCAAGTCCATATGTGTTTGTTGAATGAATGAGCAGATGAATTCATTTTGTTTGGTGTTCTCTGTCCTGTCCACAACACCCCTCCACCCCCACAATGCTAACTTGCTGGCACTTCTTCTTCCTTGGTGACACTGTAGGGAAACTCTTAGAGATTCTCTCGCCAACATTTCATTAAATACTAAGCATATTTTTTAAATTTATTTTTATTTTTTATTTTTTTTAGCAGCTGCTCCTTCTGTCTGCTATTCTCATATTCTTTTTTTTTTTTTTTTAAAGACTGGCCCTCAGCTAACATCTGCCAATCTTTTTTTCTTCCTCTTCTTCTTCTCCCCAAAGCCCCCCAGTACATAGTTGTATATTCTAGTTGTAGGTCCTTCTGGCTCTGCTATGTGGGATGCCACCTCAGCATGGCCTGATGAGCGGTGCCACATCCGTGCCCAGGATCATCTGAACCGGTGAAACCCTGGACACCGAAGTGGAGCATGAGAACTTAACCACTCGGCCCAGGGATGGCCCCACTAAGCATATTTTAAAAGACACAATATCTAAAACTGAGTTTGAGCAGTGCAAATGAGTCCATGTTAAAACACTGGAAATATTTTTCAGAAATAAGTGTTTTACCTTGTACTATAGTGAGCTTCTATATACAAAGCATATCTATGTATATATGTGTGTGTTATATATATATATGCTATGCATTCTGTTCAATAAATATTAGTTGTAATTTTTCTCTGTGACCCTACATAGATTCACTTTCAAAATATCTGGTTACAATAAATCTCTTCTTTGGGGCTGGCCCAAGATGGAGTAGTTAAAGTTCCAGGTGCTCTGCTTCAGCGGCCTAGGTTCGCAGGTTCAGATCCTGGGTGTGGACCTGCTCTACTTGCCAGCCATGCTGTGGAGGGGTCCCACATACAAAGTAGGAAGATTGGCATAGATGTTAGCTCAGGGCTAATCTTCGTCAAGCAAAAAAAAGAAGAGGATTGGCAACGGATGTTAGCTCAGGGTGAACCTTCCTCACAAAAAAATAATAAACAAATTTTTTAAAAGTCTAAAAAAATAAAATAAAAAATAAATCTGTTCAATAACATATAAAATACATTCCTGACTAATTCAATTGGTTATAGTCTGAGAAAATCCTTCAATTATTCTTTAAGTTAGAATATATTAAAATATAAATATAATGTAACAAAGTGCAAGGTGAGAACCTCAATTTCTTCATCATAGAGGTATCTTCCTAGAGTCAAAAGACTTTTGAAGCTATTTTAATATAGGTAATGCTTTTCTCGTCCTGTGGTACATTTGTAAAATAGTAACTTATTAAGAGTAACTTTGTCATAGCAAGAAATTAGTAAGTACCAAGAGTCTACTGTGAACTGAACATTACCTACACGTAACTGGTGCAAAAAATAGGTGTTAGAAATCCTACCTGTCTCCATGGAACCCACGTACAATTGACATATAAACAGGCACAATTAGAGAACAAGATATTATATGTGTTTTAAAGTCTGTTAGAACTGGAAGGACTCTCTGAGATTATGTTGATCTTTCTTTTTAGAAACGAGGACCCTGAGATACAGAGAGGAGAAATGATTGACCAAGCACCGCAGAGCTGGTTTCATGGAGCGATAAAAGGGACCCAGGTCTCAAAACAGTCTAAGTCAGTGGCATGGAAACAGGTTACACTGCAACCCACAGTAAGATATAGACCTCATATACATGTATTTCACTGCTCTATGGCGCCATTGATTATAAAACACATCAGTATTACATATAGCACTAAAACAGAGAAGATACTGTCCAGCATGTGATAACACAGCGCCTAGACACTCTGAAGCCTAAGATACATCCCAATTTCCAAAATATTAAAGGTGAAAAAGAAGCATCTGAATACAGTTTTTACACGTGTACTATATAACTAAAACAGCACTTTTCCATGTGATATTATCTACTGTATTCTATCTAGTTTGCTAAAATGATGCTATGGGTCCACTGAATTAATTTTCCCATCCACTGGTGAGCTGACCTGATCCGAGCACTACATCATGTATCACAGATAATTAGAAATCTTGTTCACATATACAACCAAGGTGCTAATTGTTCAATTTGAAAGCAGGTGAGAAGAAGAGAAATAGTTTCATGTGGACAGAAACCACCTGGGAATCTTTCAAATTAGAAATAAGAGTTTAGCCTTGAATGGATGGATAAAAGTGGTGTGATAAAGAAGAGGAAGTGAACAGCTGAGCAACTTAAACTGGAAAAAAGCCCCTCAACTGTAAAAGTAAAAAAAAAAAAAAAAATCCATTCTTTAAATTAAAATATAACCATAGAACTTAATAAAAAGAATAGGTGACATCTTTTTAAAAAGTCTGAAGTAATTTCAATGAAGACAGATGTCAATGTCTCCTCTAGAGAAAACATACGGAAACCTGAAAAAAATTAAATATAGCTTCCAGAAATGAGAATATATAGAACTGATTTAGACAAAAAAATTAAATATAGCTTCCAGAAATGAGAATATATAGAACTGATTTAGACAAAACTTGATGCAATATTTGTTTCATATCTTTCTTATTATAAAATCAAAAGGGGTCAAACAGTCTGATAGCAAGGTGACAGTGGGTTGAAACAAGCGGCAAGACAGTCTCCCACCTCTAATTTTTCTGTGCTTTTCTTAGAGTCAATGACTAATGCAAAAATAAAATTTTGGAATTCCTTTCTTGTTGGCCTCTGTGCACATGAAGAAAAAAAATCTCAGGATATAAGGTACCCAGTCCTATAAAATCGGGTGCCTGAAATCCTAGGTGATTTCTCCTACATTCATCTTCAGAATTTTATCTCTACTCCTTGCAAAAAGCAAGCAAACAAAAACAAACCCAGAAGCCCGTATTGTATGCGTGTGTGAACCGTGCACACCACACTACGAATGCGATCACATTAAAAAATGTGCACACTTGGCAGTTAGGAAAAGTCACTGCAAACTTTAGTAGGGGAAATTTCAATCCCTTTGATGAAGATACCATCTTTCAGCCAAGCCCTGGCAGAAAACCTTTGGTTCCTGTTAGACCCCTCCCTCCCCAGTCAGCTGCTGGGCTCCATCGGAGGGATGGGGGCTCTCACTCTCCATCACAGCTAAGCGTTCCCAGACCGTGGAGAAACCCCGGGTTTCTGCAGGGCACTCAACGTGCAGCGAAGTGTCCCAGCTCGGCAAAAGGCAGCTGGCAATGGATTTAAAATGGCAACGCGGACCAATCAGCGCCGCCCCGCCAGAGCAGACATTTCCGCGCGCCTCCTCTGCAAGCACGGCGGAACCTGGCGGTGCCGAACTCCCCGCGTACGGCTGTAAAGTAGGCGTTTTTATTCCACGGTGGTCTGTATTTTCGGGAAAAAAAAAGTTCTTCTTCGAGTGAAAGTTTTCATTCTGGAATCAGTCCAAAATAATTTTGGGTGTGATGTGTGAAAGTCTGAACCTAATTTTTTCAGAGTTTTTTTGTTATTCAAGGATGAAAAGAGGTACATTTTTAAATGTACTCCACCTTTTTAAAACGGCCTGTGGTCATGATGGTGTTCACATAACTCAGAAACAGCCCAAGCTATAAAATTAGGACTTGGCAGAAAGGGAGTTCCTAGGGAGAAGGTTAAATCGAGGTAAATCGAAGGGCGAGTTGGACAGTTGGCGCAATTGTGGCATTGGGAAGCTACCAGGTCCCGGCTCCGGGCAACCCCGTTACCCTACAAGCGTAGGAACACGGGTGCACAGCGCCAGCCCGGGGGAGACTTCGCGTCGCCTCTAGTCTTTCCCGGAGAAAAAAAAGTCTCAATGAAGAGGCTGGCGCGCTGCGTGTGCATGTGTGTGCATTGTTTGCACGTGTGCCTGTGTCTGCGAATGTGCATGTAAGTGCGGGCGTGTTGGGTTTAAGTGTGTGTTTATGCATGCATGTGCCTTGCGAGTGTGCACGTGTATCTGCGTGCACGTGTGTGCGTGTGTATCCGCGTGCAAGTCTGTGTGTGTGCGCGCGCGCCGGGTGGTGCGATCTGTGATGAGGGCATTCCGAGGCAGAGCAGGGCTGCCGGGGGCCGGCTCCTGCTCCTCTTCCGTTCCTTCCCACTCACAGGGAACTAGGACTCCGCCGCGCGTGCAGCTCGCCGCTTCCTGCAGCGCGTTGGCTCCGCATCGTGGAGGTGCAGGTAAAGGCCAAGCCCCTAAAGGCGGCTCTGGGACAGTCGCATTCCCGCGCCTTCCTAGGACAACCACCCAGGGGCGACCTCGGGCGGCGGGCGGGGCGAGGCCGGCGGCAAGCCGGCCCGGGATCCCCGGCCTGTCCCTTTAACCCCGCCGCCGGGCGGGAGCACGTGAGCGGGGCTCCGGGTGGCACCCGGGCGCCGCCGCCGCCGAGGCAGTTGTATTTCGAACGCTGCCTCTGGCCCGCGGCCAGGCGCCTTGGCTCGGCGGTCCGCCTGGCCTCCCTCCTCCTCATACTTTTCCTCCTGCGCAGCCCCCTCCCCTTTATCCGCCCACGATTAGAGGTGGGCACTCCCCCCCCCCCCCCCCCCCCCCCCCCCCCAAGCGCGCACACACACACACACACACACACACACTCATCCCACTTGAATCCTGGGGCAGGAACTCAGAAAACTTCCAGCCCCGGCAGCGCGCGCTTGGTGCAGGACGCAGGAGCGAGCAGCCCGTCCCCCTCCGACTCTCCCGTGCCGCTGCCGCCCGCTCCCGCCACCCGAGGAGGCGCGGTGCCACCCACTACTCCGTCCCTCGCTTGCGCTCAGTGCCCGAGCCGGTCCCGGCCGACTCTCCCCGTCCTGCCTCTGCTTCCCCACGGCCCAAGCGCTATTTGTTTTCTCTCTCTCTTTCTCTTTCTTGCTCTGCGAGCCGGAGAGGGGGGGAAGAGGAGGAGGAATTCTTTCCCCGCCTAACATTTCAAGGGACACAATTCACTCCAAGTCTCTTCCCTTTCCAAGCCTCTTCCGAAGTGCTCCCGGTGACCGCAACTCCTGATCCCAAATCGAGTGGGGAGCCTCTCCCGCTTGCAACCCTCTTTCTCTTCGCCTTCGCCTTCCTGCTCCTCTCGCTACCTCCACCTCCACCGCCACCTCCACCTCCGGCACCCACCCACCGCTGCCGCCGCCACCAGCAGCGCCTCCTTCTCTCCTCCTCCTCCTCCCCTCTGCTCTCTTTTGGCAGCCGCTGGACGTCCGGTGTTGATGGTGGCAGCGGCGGCAGCCTAAGCAGCAGCCGCCCTCGCAGCACGCCCGCTCGCTCACCCTGCCTCGTCCTCCAGCCCTATCGCCCCGTCTCCCGAAAGGTGCCGGGCGGACTCGGGGCGGCTGAGGCCAGCGGCTGCAGCGGCGGTAGCGGCGGCGGCGGCGGGAGGCAGGATGAGCGCACGCGGTGAGGGCGCCGGGCAGCCGTCCACTTCAGCCCAGGGACAACCTGCCGCCCCGGCGCCTCAGAAGAGAGGACGCGGCCGACCCAGGAAGCAGCAGCAAGTCAGTACGCGGGCGGGGTGGGGGCACCAGCCCGCCTCCGCGCCCTCCGCGAAGGCCCGGCCACGCGCGGCCCCGAGCGCGGGAGCCGGGTCGCCGCGCGCCGCCCGCCGGCCGGAGGCGGGGGCCGCGGCGTCTCCGGCGCGAGTGCGCGGCGGAGCCCCGGGCGCCCGCGCGGCTGCGGGCGGGAGGTGGGAGCCGCGGCGCGCGGCGGGGTGGCGGCGGGAGGTGGGGTCGGGCGCGGCGCGTCCGCGGACTTTCGCTATTGTGCACGGCCCGCCGTGGCGCGGGGGCTCCCGGCGGCGGCGAGCGGCCCGGCGCTTTCCGAGCTGCTCTCGCAATTGCGCCGGGGGAAGGAGGTGCCGGGGGGCAGGGCGCTCTGGCGGGTCCGAGTCAAGGGGCTGAGTCCTGGGGGCCGGAGGCTCTTTCTCCCGCCCGCGCGGGCTGCTCGCGGGCCGCGGACCGGCGCGCCGCAGCCGCCCCCTTGACGCCCTCCCCAAGTTCTCGGTGGCCCGAGGCTCGCGCCCTCCCGACAAAGAACTCGTGGGCCCGCCCGGTCCTCCTAGGGCTCTTTAAATGCACCGCGGCGGCCAGCCCGCGGGCCGCCGCCGCCGCCGAGGTGTCCCGGGGAAGGGGCTGCAGGAGAGCCTGGGTCCCCATGGGACGGGATTAACTCGTTTGGCCAAAAGCGCGGTGGAAAGTAGTGTCCGAGAGGGTGCACGGTAGCTAGGGTCACTTCCTCACCAGGCGCCCCGTCCCCTTTTTGCCCCAGGATCCCGCGCCTCGGAACTGCAGACATTCCATGTGCTTCTCCAGGGCAAGTGGCTGGGGGCTGGGAGGGGACGATCGAGGGGTGCCCGGGACCCCGCGGAGTGGAGGGTTTTGTCTGCGGATGCAACCAATTAAGCGTGCAGCCGGCGCTTGCAGAGCTGCGCGCAGCGCCCAGGGCGGGGGTTTTGTTCGCCGCGATTTCCAAGCCTCGGCGGGCAGGGCTGGAGCGGGACGTGTCTATTGAGAACATTTAAACTCCGCTTCCGCGGGCTTTAAAACTTCTCCTTCGTTCCTTAGCCTTAAAGCGCTTGCTTCATGGCAAAGAGGCCGAGTAGAAAATAATCCTAGAGTCCCAAAGCTGCCCGAGAGCAAGGTGGGGAAATCGAACAATGTTTTGCTTGCCAGAGCGTTTTAGAAAAACGGAGAGGGTTGTACCTTTTTGAAATCATCAAAGGAAACAAGCCAATCTAGAGGCCCCTGCGTTTTCCCGCTCTGCCCCAGCGACACTTTATACCGCGTTAGGATCCTGTTTTACACCTCCCAGGAAGTCTCTGCCCTTCCCCCCGCCCTGTTTCCCACCCGCCACCCGGCTCTCTCTAATTCTACTAATTGCCCCCCATCTCCAAAAAATAATGCAAAAGAAATTGCACTGGGGTCTGGGGGGGACTGGAAGTTTTACCTCTGAGTTAAGGCAGAGTTCACAAAGAAAGAAAAATGTGTCTCCGCTGTGTTTGCGCCGGATGTGCCCACTGGCGCTAGTGGTCCGACAGAAGCTTGCAGACAACCTTCCCCAGATTCTCTCAATAGGATGCGAATTTTCATTGAAGACTTTCATGCGTTTTTAAGTTAATTAGTCTCATTTAATCACCGAATCGGAATGAAATGTAAATTGATGATTCACTGGATAAATATTTAGGATCTGGAATATTAATCATCGCATTCTCTCAACCATTTGAGTATTTACTACTTGGCATAGAAGCCATTTAAAGTTTTGCTAAACCTATTGATAGTTTCAATTTCTCCTTCCCAGACTCTTCCATTCCTTCTCGCTTCCCCCCCCCCTTCGTTTTTTTCAGTCTACCCTCATAAAAGTTTTCTCGAAAGAAAGTTTTGGAGAAAATGTTTATTTTTATCAAAAGATATTTAAAGTTAGACTGGAGGCCATGCCTGCATCTCCAAAAGGAAGTGGAGAATTGAAGCAATTATCTAGATAATTCAAGCAAAACCTCCCACAACAGATTTACCATAAGTATTTGGAAATTTTAGGGGGGATGGAGTTATTTTGAGTTGAGGAACATGGATAATTGCTCCCGTATTCCACTCAATGTGTTGATTGAGTCATAATTGACCTATAATGCAGATATATAGAGATGATTAAAAACCATCTTTTCAATATGGAATATTGTTGAAATGTTTATGATGTTTGTTTCATATTTCTGTTGTTTGAAATGCTAGCACAATGGATAGTAGGATTTGGGTAAAATGCTTATTATTTCTATGAGTTGCCAAACGCACAACCATGCAAATTTTATACCTTAAAAATGTATAACTTTCTTTGTAGAGCGTGCAACCTTGTCGGCCTTTCTTACCTTTGTAGGGTTGAAATCTAATCTAGCTTTCACATGCAAAATAGAATTTCCTCTTTAAAACCTTGGATTAAAAGTATAGTTATTTCCCCTTTCTGTAAACTCTGTACCATCATCAGCCATTTATGCTGAACTGAATGTGTTCCAACCCTTCTGTCGAGCAGCACATGCGGAAAATATAACTATAGAGTCAGGGTCAATTTCTTTCAGACGTTCTTGCCACAACAGCATTTTTTTTTCCCCCCACAATTAGGAGCCAACCGGTGAGCCCTCTCCTAAGAGACCCAGGGGAAGACCCAAAGGCAGCAAAAACAAGAGTCCCTCCAAAGCAGCTCAAAAGGTGAGATTTCTGAAGTCAAGCCCTCCCAACTTTCTCAGCGACCACAGGAACCGCCCTGTAATTTTCCCCTGCCAGATCCGCACCTAAGGGTTTGTCCCAACTGGGTAGTCCAAGATTCATTTCTTGCCTTTAGTATTAGTAAGATTTCTCAGCAGATGCTTAGCAAGAAAGTTCGTGAAGATGCCTGCAATGTTGTTTTTAAGCAAACAAGCAATCACAGGATAATATGAAGCTTAAAACAGGGGTGGGAGGGGTGGGGGGTGGAGAGCAACACAATTAAGATTTGCACCGGTTGTGAAATAGTTAAAAACAAATCCAAACTATAGATTTTTGCCTGGTGCTGAAGCTTTTGCAGGATTTCCTGAAAAAATAATAAAGATTAATTTATTTTGTGCTTATTTACATGACTACTGCAAAACCCAGTCTTCCTCTTAAACTTAAGTATTTTGCCAAATAGATGATAATTAGAAGTAAATCCAATTATGGGATACTGGAAAAAATTTCATGAATTTTGCAGCTTTAAATGTGATGATAAAGTATGCTGTTTGTTTACAATGTAATATATCATAATCTCTCAAAAAAGCCTTTCCATCAGGTGATACAGAAATTTTCTAAATGGGACAATGATAAGTTTTTAAAACAAATATTTGACTCATTTATTGTATGTTTTTAGGCAGGATAGAACCCAGTCAAGCATAATTTCCAGTGTTTTTCTTTATAAATTTTAAATTGCGGTTTAAACTAACTTCATGTTGGTTGTATTTGAGCTAGCAAAGAGCAAGTACTTCAGGGTCAATACATGGCGAGAGAAGTGGAGATGAATATAAAATTCACTCTTTTTAGCTTTATAAGTAAATCAGAGGAAAGTTTCTGTATTTTGTAGGTTTGTATATTATTAAAAACAAGGTTCAAAATTCAGAAGTAAATGTTGACATCTTTTCAAGAGATTTGAGTTCCTCATGTGCAGTATTTATTAAAAAGGACTATATGCTCATCTTTTGGGGATTAATATTTTGTGTGGTTTTTTCTGTGACTCTGGGTACTGACCATATTATATGATAGTTTTCAGTGTTGTAAACTGCCATAGCAACCAGCGATACATAGAAAGTTATTTAGGGAGTAACTATGAGTTCTTGTCTGTTTTATTTTAACAGTCTTGAACAGAGATGAAGGAGCAGATATTTAATATAGTTAAATATAGCTGCTTCTCAAGAGGGAAGATTTAATGATGACTCACATTTAATCAGTAAACTTTGAAGTAGCTCTAAATTACCTTGTCATTTAAAAGTGACAATATATAATCTGAAATTCCTAATACGAATACTTTCTATTTGGTACATTTTATCTGGTTTATTAAATTAACTAAGAAGGGTGAATTTAACAAAGGGCGCATTTTTATGTTACCCAAGTGTGGAATTTACCTAACTTAATTTACTCCACTGAGATGTCAAAGGAATATCTTGGTAGGTTGCTAACAAACATTTAAACTGTGATGTCATTGCTCTGAAAAACACGTCACTGTAACATCTCCCAGGAAGAAATCTTTAAATCTCATCATAAAGAAATGATTTAAAGTTTAATACAAGAAAAGAAAATGAATTATCTTTCAGGTCTCACTGTGTTACATTCTTTTTAGACGCTTCTATCACCGCTCTTCCATTTGAAAATTTACCACTGACTAAAACAATCTTCATTGGAAAAGGGAAGCTGAGACTTGTGCCTAATTTACCATCTAAAGTAAAATAACAAAAAAGTTGATCTCTTCCCAAGTAAGGTTTGATTTATTTTTAGTTACTTTAGTGATAGGCATTGACAAATGACCCTACTAGGCTCCTCATCTTGCTGATAATTCTTCGTGTGTATGCATACATATTACAGCTTCCACAACAGAAGTAGGTTTTCTTTTTCCCAAAGAAGTCTTTCCCTGGATCTTTCATTGTTCCAGACAAAATGATTTCACAGAATTTTGTTCTTAAAGTCTCCTTTCTAATAAAAGTGAATAAATATATCTGCCCTTAACATGACTGTTATATTTCTTCAGTTTTGCAAATTACGCTTCATTTGGAGAAGATAATACTTTGCAAAATAAGGAATGACATTGATGAATTGTTCATGGCATGTGTAAACTTAAGGTATTTTCATTTTCAAATCAGTATTTATTGAGTTTGCTACTACCCTATATAAACATGGTTATCAAACATGTATTTGTTTATCAAACATATATTGTTTTCTAAAAAAAAATGTTTGTTAGGATTTTGAAAAGCAGTCTTTTAAGGAAAAAGTCATATTGTTCAGAACATGTAAGATAAACATAGCCTGCCAGACTGACCAGAGTAGATATGAGAAGTTTTCTATGATTAATAAATTGAGTATTCTCCTGAAAACTGAGATTCATCAAAATGAAAAATATATAACAAACACTGGTAAGTATATAAGAGAACAGAACTCTAAAATTAGAGGAGATGCAGTGTATACTGGGACCCTAATGATGTGTGTTTATAATTTCTTGCTGCCTGGAGTTTCTTTACTTACAAAATTTGTGTTTGGACTCAGTAACTGGCCTTGGGGCATTTGAAAACAAAATTGCTTGTTGGAAAATTAGCAGTGTGAAACTTCACAATGCATGTGGAATGTTGCAGGACCAAGTGGACGGCTACTAAATTAGCAATCACTGTAATTTCAAGCCATATTCAATATAAAATTGATTTGTGTAATATTTAAAACAAACATTTATAAAAACACAAGTTGTTATGCTGGGAACTTTTGGAACGGAAGATAATTATTCTTCAATCTGCTCATATTCCATTATAACAAATTCCATGGATGCCCATTGTTTAGCAGTTCTAGTCATTCATAGGAACTCGAGTCTGAGTGCTCAAAACTTGTCCCTGAACCAGTTCCATATTATCTTAATACAAGAAATCAGAAGTTAATGTTTTCCTGAATAAATAATTTATCCATATGAGTGTGAGAGTGTGTGTCTCTGTGTGTCTGGGTGTATGTGTATGTCTCTGTATGTGTGTGTGTGTCTGCGTGTGTGTGTGTGTCTGTGTGTGTCTTGACCCTTTATGTTTTAGTTTGAGATATACCTGTGAACAGCTGTCTCTTAATTTCTTTTTTGTTTTGCTTTGTTTTCCTCTCATGTTTGTGCTGGATGGAAGTACTTTGTATTTTCACATTTCCCATGTTTGGAGAGAGGAAAGATATAACTCCTTTATGTTTAGTTTAGGATTTTTGTTGTGGCTGTTTAATCATGAGAGAATACTGGAGGGTTGTCGCTAATTCTCTAGTGTTTAAGGTCACAAGTCAAATTCATCTGTAAGTTTCAAGTCAGTTCTCACTCAGGTACTTCTGGGAAAAAAGTTTTTCCTGAGATTGAATTACGTTTTAATAGAAGGAAATTGCAAATAAAAAAGATCTCGTGTGTGAGATAGCCCTACTTTGTAATTCGTAGATTTGCTTGAACTTCCTTTTGGTGTAATACCTAGACCTAGAGAGCAAAGTGTAGAATGAACATGTCATCTAGGTAAAGTGTGTGTTCTTCAAATAGTGCGTTCAGCATAAACGTTAATGTATGTCTTCCATTTGCTCTTACGAAGAGGACTTGATATTAATTGGATACTATAAATGCAGATTTCTGCTCCTTCTAATCACATTCTTAGGAATGTGGTTGATTTTTCATAAGTGATTACTAATGCCAATCACAGATGTTTTAGGTTCAGAGAATGGGGGTTTTACTCATCATTTGAGATAAATTTTAGAGCATAGATGCTGAGTGAGGACAAGATTTTTCTCAGAGTACAGTAGGTCCCGTTGAAGAGAGTAACCAAAGGCATCATGATAGATGTCAGGGGAAGATGGTGTTGCAAGTTACCATACAGTTCCAGCCTTTGCTCCCTGCGTTACTGGGGTGATCTGGTTTGATCCCTCTGTGTTTTCACAGGCAGGTAATTTCCACTGGGAGTCAGGGCCCTATCTGAGTATACAGATGAATTCAGGCAGGTGGAATCAAGTAAAGCTCACTGTTGTCTCCATCAGATTGATATTTTAGGCTGACTTTCCTAAACAGTTGACTCATTCCTTTTACTTTACTTTGCCAAGGAGGGCCAAGCCTTCATGCTTCAGTAAGTTCTATCTGGCAGTGCCTTTGAGTCATCACAGATTATGATCCTAGTCTGGGAGATTCAAATACATTTGGATTATTTTATGAAGTAAATTTCCTTAAGGGACCCAGAGTTCTAATTCTCTGGAAGCTATCATTCTTCTGAACTCTTTATCAGAAGCCCCTCATTATTTTGACTGACCTTTACAACCCGGGTTCGTTTTTCTCTCAAAGTCTCAACAGATCATTTTGCTTGGGAGACAAGACCACACCAGACTGAAATTCTGTTACATTTCAGGTCTTTCTTGAGAATAGATGGCTGCTGAAGAGCATTTTGTGTCAGTTCAATCATTCAGACCTATCTTGTCTTGTTAGTTGAGTTTCTGTAGTTCCCAGCGCTCGCCGTGGAACCACATCGCTTGGCATAAGCATGGAACATTGAATTTCTCCATCCTAGATTCTGAAGTTTTTAGTTATGAATCTTTGTTCTACCAGCCAGGAGAAGAGGGTGAGTGGAGTGCTGACTCTATTTTAGGCTGTGGCTTTGTTCTGTGTTTCTTTAATACACTGAACAGTTTTAAGTGGCATCTTCCAGTTGGTTCCGTGGGAGCAGCGCAGTCATTCTCTTTTCTCCAGGATGAGGCAGGGGGCAGTTTGCTCAGAAGGTAATCATTTGGAGCTCTTGTGTCATTGCTCTTGATTTCTCTGATTACAAAAGAGGCAGAGGGAGGTTTCAAGGAGGACAGTCTTAAACTTTGAAAATGATCACTTTTTCTGCCATTTGGCCTTGGTTTTAATTTAATGTTTGTATGGCTAAAGGCAGGCATTGTGAATAATGACATGCGAGTTGTCACTAAGGTCTTCCTTGGGTAAAATGAGTGTGGACTACGTGGATAATAGAATTTCCTTATATTTCCTATTGGAAAATGTATTGTGATGGCAACATCTTTTCAATATTTTCAACATTTGTAACATCTTTTCAAGATTAAAAATGGTTGCACTTAGAACTTGGAAACCCACAGAACTGGGTTATCAAGAAGATAAAATGAGAATTTCCTCAATGCTTAATCTGATTGGTTAGTCCAGTTGATGTTGATGGCAGTGCACATTGATTTACACTGTTTATATTTTTAAAAGAGCAACTGAATGAAATAAATGGGACCTTCCAGACTTTGGGTAGTCAGCTCCATACACTCTTAAGTCCAGTCTTAAAAATATACATATAAAGATACGTGAAAACAAAGCAAGACGCTGCTACACCCAGATATTTTCCTAGCTCTTCTTTTGTGTAGATGTGCTGACTGATTTGGGCTGGGGGAGTTCTGGCTTTCATGTATTATCACAGTACGTATACAATATGATGAGAGCATTTAGAATCACCAAAAATGAATAGCTATCTAAATGAGACCCTGAAGTCAGAATTGGATAATTTTCTTGGTTCCCAATCTCAGCTTTTGTCCTTTATCTTTATAGGAAGCTTGGAAAAGTTTCACTTTTAGCTACTTATTTGATTTTCACCCTAGAAGGTTTTTTTTTTTTTCCTTTTTTAATTTGCCAGTGGCTCTTTTATTTTATACGGGAATATCTCCCGGCAGAACAGACTCTTCATGGCCTTGACATCAGACTGGGTCTCAGTTCCACTCCTTATGATCGTGGGCAGATGGCTTAACCTCACATTTGTGAAACGGGGGAAGTAGTAACTTCCCTGCTTAGGTAAGATAAGGCTCAGAAAATCGCTGTGGACACTTCAGAATTGGAAGGCATTCTTTTTAAGAGTAACATTTTAAAATGTGGAGAGAGAGAAGAAATTACGCTCGAGTACCTACTAAATGCTATAGCTTTTGTCAGGCACTTTACATATAAATTAGCTCCTGATGTAGGCATTATGGTCTTCATTTCACAAAAGGGGAAACGGATTCGGTTGTAAACTGTGGCATGTCTGATGTTCAACTCTAGTAAATGGTGGCACCTGAGTTTGAATTCAAATCTAATTCTAAAGCTTATGACCTTTCTCCTACTATGTGCTGTCACGTGTTTTGCAAACTATCTGCTACAAGGGAGAGTATGTTATCTGCAGTAGTCTGAAAGGCAGGTGAAGTTAGGTGTTGAGAAATCTCTGGAGGGCAGCTCTCCACAAGCTTATAGAGGGGTTGGACGTGTGCACCTGCTGTACCTGATGCCCGTAGACTTCTGGCCCCCAAACAAACCACAGGGCTATGACTTTGGAGATTAGAGCACATCTAGAGTTTTCTTATTTGTTAAATGAAGGGGCTAGATGAAATGCCTTCTAACGTTTTATCACACTGTAGAGTTCTGATGGCAGGACGGAAGTAAGACACACGTAATATAAACACCAGGGTTTGTTTCTTTCCTTCCTTCAGTCAACGACATGTAGTGAGCACGTCTTGTGCACCAGGCACTCGTGCTAAGCACTATTTCCAACTTCAAGAATTATATTTGCTAGATGAATTTCTTTTTTAATTAATTTTTTTAGTGTGGAGTACGGTTAAGAGCCTAGACTATCAGAACTTCTTAGAGGAGGACAGAATTACATTTCCCATTGAACATTCCTCCCATCCGTCATGAACTTGCTTCTAAACGTGTTATAAAATTAAATACACAGTTCTGAATCTAAACTTAAAAAAAGTTGAAAATATGAATGAAGACAAGCAAGGAAGAAATAACACTTTTAACAAGAGATGATAGGATAGTTGCAAATATTGGTCTAGTAGTGCTGGTCATAGTCTGAAATTTCATTTCTTCAAATGCAGAATTCCAACCCAGTCTCCCTTCCCTGCTAGATAAGCAGTGCCTGCTTAGAATAAGTTATGTCTCAATTACACATGGGTTTGTAGGATAGGACCAAATTCTACTCTGGCAAAGGAAAACCAAATAGACACTTCCCCAGTATTGCGTATGTTGACATATTAAAAACAAAACAAGCCCCTGAGTGTTTTGTTGTCTTCTATTGAAAAATAATATCCTGGAGAGCATTAAACACAGAAAAAAAATTAAAGCCAGTGTTTTCCAATATGTAAAAATCCTGGATCTATGCTGGTTTACAAACTAAAATCCTAACTTGTTTTGCAGGCTTTGTGAAGTTTGATCAGAATGATTAAATAATGTGGGTTTTAAAGAACAATGAAAACCTCCCAGCTCGACGCCACACAGCCCAGCTAATGTGTTTCTTCTAGATGGAGTCTCAGCAGAGAGTTTCAGTTGACATGTAACACTGGCCTGAGGACCAGGGAGCAAGTTTGCTTTTAACAAGTCCGAGTGATAATCATGATATTTTGCCCTTCAGTTAATGGTGTGAATTTTATTTTTGAATGGGCTTTTTGTAAACGGGAGGCTCATTTTTAAAGGCCTCGTCTTTGCAGGGCTTTCTCTGACTTTGAATTGCAGAGAAACTCTCTTGGAAAACAGCCCTCTCTTCAACAGATTTTAGATACACTGGGATCACATCATGGCCCCTGAAACACAGCGACTGTACAGAGAGAACCCGGTGTGGCACTGGGAGCCTTTACAGCCAGTAGCTGCCGCCTCTCAACCCCTCCTACCATCCTTGTGCCCGTTAAAAGGATTTCTATCTTCCATGTTTGTGTAGCTTACTACTGGGTAAACTGCAATCTTCCAGTTGCTTCCAAAGATTAAATCAGACACTGCTTCTGTATTAGGAATTTTGTACTCACGTAACTCACTATATACTGGCCAAAGGGCTTCTTAAAAGCTTCATTCTAAAGGTGACAGATGGGTGTAATGGAATATTTGCATTGACTGAACCTTCTATGGGATTGGAAAACTTTCCCTTTAAGAGTTCCGTGTTCTTCGGAGTGAACGAACACTTCCTGAGCACCTCATTTGTGGTGGGCACCGCCACTCCTCACAGGAGGCGTTATCTCCCTTTCACACTTGAAACCGAATTAAGGTTCTCAGGGAACTGCTAAAGTCGTAAAGCCAAACCGGCAGAACAGGCATTTAAATCCCACCTTCCCAGCGTGGAGTCTGTTCCCCGCAGGCCGCCTCCCCCTCTCCCTGAGACAACACTGGGAAGGGGCTGTGGCTCGCTGGGCCTTCCTGGCCCTCTTTCAATTTGATTCATGCCCTGTGACTGAAGGTAAGGCAGTGCCAATAACCCCTGACAATAAAAGATGCCTTTGGAGACATTTGAAATAGTGACCGTGATTTAGAGGGCCCAGATCTGACAGACAGGGCTCCGGACGGTCACCAGGTTTCCTTCTGTTCTGGGAAATTAGCTGAATCAGTGACAGTTCCAGTTAGTTCCAGTATCTCCTGATGGTATCAGGGGAGGTAGCATGGTTAGGAGGGCAGCAGCCCAGTCTTGAGAGTCCAAACAGAGCTGGGTTCACATCCCAGGGCTGCCCTCGCCCAGCTTTGTGTGTGCCCTGGAGGGATGTACCTCGCTGTTGCTCCTCTGCAAAAATAAGAGAAGGAATAATATCTACCTTATAAGGCTTTTGTAAAGAGTAGAATAACACACGTGAACGAGTTAACCCAGTGCCTGGGGCGTTTTAAATGCTCAATCAATGTGAACTAACATTACAATCATCCAGAGTTTGGGTTAATTCATGGGACCTGTTGGATAGTAATGCTGGGACAAGGAGATATTATTTGATGAGAAACTTATGGCTTATTTGTCTATGTATCTATCTATCTATTTACCTACCTACCTAGTTACCCACCTACCTATCATCTATCATGTATCTCCATCTGTTTCTACCAGGCAGATTGGAGAAGAGCGAGCAGAGTCTCATTTGGCAGGATAGACAGTTCTTACAGGAAATGTTAGTATCACTGTACCAAGTACCTCTGGTTGCTAACCCAGGAAACAAAAGTAAAATGCAAAACCAGTTATCCCGGCTCAGGTTACCTGTATTTTTGTGTTTACGTAGCCTTGAGATGATTCTCATATACAGAGCAGTATATACTAAGTTTTCTTTATCCTAAAAAGTATAAACACATGTTTTTATAGAAGATCTATGTGATGTGTGTGTGTTGTTGTATTTGGGGATTAAGGAGGGGTGATTATAGAAATGTTATTACTTGGGGTTCAAAAGGGAAAAATCAACTGTGATACCAAGAAAATCTATGAAGTAAAGCAATGAAACAAACTCTCAAGGTAGTTAGCAACATATTCATGTCAGTTCTGTGTTGAGTGTGGAATCATTGTTAGTAATGTACATTTCTACAAATTATTATTTTTCGCATCCCTAGTTTCCATTTCAGAGACAGACATTGCATTGATGATTCCTGCCAGCTCTTTTTTCTCTTTGCTTTAGGTGAACTGAGTGGTGATTGTTTTTGGCAAGGAATAGGAAATTAACTACGTAGAAGTATGCAAGTGTTTTTTTTAATTAGAATCCTTATGTATTCTTTCTTACATTTAGACTTGCTTCTGACTAGCAATGTAGGTAAATTGTTAGCAATATATCAATATTATTTTTGGAACTTTAGTTGCAACATAGAAAAAATCATTTACGAAACATTTTCTAAAATACTTATTTATGTAATTATGGATATGTGAGAATATTTTTAAAATTATGGACAGAAAGAAAAGCACAATAGCTCTTTTAAAAGCATTTTTATGCATTTCAGAGAGTGTCTTTTGGAGTAAGTGTTGCATACATAGCTTTCTACACCATGCAGTGAAAAACGGGGCAGAGGAATCTACTCAGACATGGAGAAGAACATGAACCCTAAAGGAGGAAGGATTGTAAAACAATCTCAATGCCTCATCTGCACACCAGAACATTCCTACTTGAAATGTGTCCCCTGGTGCAGCACTTATAAATAATGTCAGGTAGGAAACAATATGACTTCCTTTTTCATTTTGCAGAAAGCAGAAGCCACTGGAGAAAAACGGCCAAGAGGCAGACCTAGGAAATGGGTGAGTAATAAGATGTCATGTTCTTTTTGCTTTGTTCTTTTTTGTAATGAGACATTTCTGTGTTTTTAAATGAAAATTGCTCTTATTTTATCAATTATATGAATTTCTAGCTTCTCTTTGGTGAATCTTTGAAAGGGTTAAGGCAAGCGACAGATTATAACAGCTCCTTACCATTAGGCTCCAGGAGTTTACTGAGGACCTGTTCTTTCCAGGAGACGCTCCTTTTTCTCTCTCTTATCAACATGAAAAGAGTCTCCACTCTTCCTTCCAGCGGGGTAACAATGAGATGACTTGTTCGGTGGGTTGAGTAAATAAGGTTAAAGGGTATTATGAAACCTTGGACGTTGATTACAAATGGTGATAAAATTCAGATGAAATGTGTATGAGATAACTTCTTCACATTTTCTTTCTTTCTTTTTTTTGTTTCCTCCATGGCTTTGCTTTGGACACATCCCATTTTCTAGGTGGTTTGTGTTTTGTTTTTCACATGGGCTTTGTAAGGAAACCGGGTTTTAATTTCCAGTTTTTCTTGCTTCCCTAGTCGTTCTTACAGACCGGCATTGGCGACAGTGGCTTCCGTGCAAGTGTGTGTGAACCCCTAGGCACACAGATCCTGTATCTTTTCGAGGCCAGGAACTCAGTCATCACTGAAGAGCTTCACTGATCTTACCACTTGAACCTCTGTTCCCTTTGCTGCTACACTACCCATGTTCTTCTGGGCTATCTTTCCAGTGACAGAGGAGAAAAGTCTTAAATGAATAAAACCATCTCTCAAGAAAGACAAAGGCATCCTCCATACCCAGTATCATGGGATCTTGGCTTTCTTTTTCTCTCTTCCCTGGTGTAGTCTTCATGCTTCCTCTTTATTAAAAGTTTACTTGCTGCCATGCTGGATTATGTTTTCCTGTTAGTGTGCCATTCCTTTCTCCTTGAGAGTCCTGCATCACTTTCTATTTATACTTTGGTATTGCCTTACATTTAATTTATTCATCTTGTATTTTTTTTTCCTCTGCTCAACATGTGTTGGGATTAGATTTCTTAGCACATGGAAATGGGGATGATCTTTAGATTAAAAACATCTCAGTGTTACAGTGTAACCTTAAAGTAAGAGCATTTCATTCAACCTTTTTGTCAATAAATGAATTCTCTCCAAACCTACCCACCAAGTGGTGATCATGTAGACTATGCCTCCTGATTCCCTTTAATGTTAGGGAACTCACCACCTGTTCTGGCTGCCTCTTCCTTCCTAGAAAGCTCTGAACATTAGAAAATTCTTCCATCCAACTCCCCGTAGCTTCTGCTCCCTGTCCCTAGGCCTCCCACCTGGGAAGACGCAGAGTAATCGTTTTTGCTTCTACTCATCATAGACCTTTGAGTATTTGAAGACAATTAACACATACCTCTTGTTCTCTTTTCTTGTTTGAATATCTCCAATCCTTTCCATTTTTTCCAGTAAAGGAACATTTTTGTTATTCTCTCCTGAGTATGTTTGTTTTTAAATCTTTTGAAATATGTCACCCAGAACTAAGTATCATATTCCAGGTGTGGGCTCCGTAACCAGTGGGTTTGTCACCTCTCTTGTTGTACATATGGTTCCAGTTACCTATTACTGCTTAAGCAACCACCCCAAAACTTAATAATGTGGGAGAAAAAGCCATTTTATTATGCTCATGGCTTCTTTGGGTCGGGAATAGGGACAGGGCACAGCAGAAAGGCTTGTCTCCGTTTCAGGGTATCTGGAGCTCTGCTGGGAGGACTCATGCAACTGGGGGTGCCTCTCGTGCTTGGGGTCTGGCATTGGGGGGCTTCTTCACTCACAGGTCTGGTGTAATTGCAGGATTGGCTTGAAGTCTGGGTGCCTCTGGGAGTGTCCACCGGAGCACCCACACACATGGCCTTTCCAGCTTGGTGGTCTCAGAGTAGGTAGTCAGCCTTCTGACATGCACTCAGGGCTCCCAGACAGAGTGTTCTGGCAAATGAGGAGGAAGCTGGAAGGCCTTTTTTGACTTAGTCTCAGAAGTCAAAAAGTGCTTCTTCCATTATCCTCTAGTGAGCACACTGATGTCTAAGTCGGTGTTGGCATACATATCCAGTATAGGTCTGCCATTTCCTAAGCCTCAGGACTTTGAAAGGACATCCTATCCCACTGAACTAACCAGTAAGAAAGACCTGTGTAAACCTCCTAGGAGGCAAGTAATAGAAAGTCGCTAAGTTCTTTGAAGTTGTGAGACAGATGCTGCTAAAATGAAATGAAATAAATTGTAAGCAAATACAATAAAAGTTGATGAGCTCAACAGCTTCCATCAGGTGTGTCCTCCTTTTTTGCCCAGTGTTATTGAGATATAATCGACATATAACACTGTGGAAGTTTAAGGAATACAACGCATTGATTTGGTGCTTATATATTGCAAAACGAATACTGCAGCAGTGTTAGTTAAGGCCTCTGTCATCTCATGTAATTATCATTTCCTTTTTTGTGGTGAGAACATTTAAGATCTACTCTCTTAGCAACGTTCAGGTATCTAATACAGTATTGTTAATTATAGTCACCAGGCCAGATCCCCAGAACTTAGAATAGGAAGTTTGTACCCATTTCTCCCACCCTGCAGCCCCTGGCAGCCACTATTCTGCTGTCTGTTTGTATAAGTTTAGCGTTTTTTAGATTCCACGTATAAGTGAGCTCATACAGTATTTGTCTTTGTCTGTCTGACTCATCTCACTTAGCATACGGCCCTCAAGGTCCATCCATATTGCGGGGAATGGCACGATTGTCTTCTTTCTCACGGCTGAATAATATTCCACTGTGGGTACATGTGCCATCTCCTTGATGCATTCACCTGTAGACGAACACTTAGGTTGCTTCCACATCCTGCCTCTTACCTGATCTCTCAGCCTTTCGTCTCTTCTGCCTTTGGGCTATCCTACAATGTTCGCCAGTTAACCTCCACAGGTCATAGTCATGTCACTTCTCGGAAACGTTCTGTGGTTCCACAGCTGGCCACTGAGTTAATTACAACCTGCCCAGCACTCTGAGGTCCCCACAGTTTACGCTCACCTATATGGCTTTATTTCCCACCGCTCTTCCTCACACAGCCGATGTTTCAGCCACGCTGGAATTAAACTTGGAGCAATTAAAGGATCTCTATGTTTTCTCTCAATGGATTCTTAGTCATTTAGGGGAGACCTGCATTCCAGCATCTGATCTTCATGCTGGCTAGGAAGCTCACGTGGGGCATCCCCCGCGGAAACTGTTGCCTTTCTGGGAATCATTGGACCATCCTCCTTGACTGTCAGGATTTCTAATTTTTACTGGCTGTGAGAATGGAAAATATTGTATAGTGAATTGTTACAAGTCCCTGATTTGGTCTCCAAAGAAGAGTTGTTCTACTTAGAAGCGGAAATAAAAGGAAGTTGTCTATTTTTTCTAGACAGCGTGTTCCCTCTTTGCTGGGATATGTCCTGTTGGGTAGAGTATGCAGCCGGTCACAGCCAAGCGTTCCGTTCAATGGCATTCTTTACTGGAAGGCTTGTACTAAAGAAATAAATTACTGCATTTTCCATAGGAAATGGGCTTGTACTTTATAGTAAGTTCAATTCTTTCAAACAGTGTCATTGACTGATTTCCTTGTATTAGAGATATATTTTTGAACTGACTGGATTTACTAGATACATGGCCTAAAAGCGAAATTGCTTCCCTTTTATTCTTCTGGGTGGTTTTGTTTTGCTTTAAAGTTCTTTTGCTTTTAAAAAGATGTCTTGTAAATCTCATAGTGTCGTGCAACAGGCCTGGAAGAAGGTATCTGCAGTATACCCCTCTCCCCTGATGTGGCTGGAAATGGTGGTTGGTAGGTTACTCAAAAGTTGATTGACCAGAAGTATGTAGATGTAGGAGCGAAATTTGTGCCAATCTCGCTTCTGGAGAGGATGGAGTGTTGGCTAATCCAGTGAGACATTAACTAGATTTGAGTTTAGGCTACTTCTGTTGTTTGCTATATTCTCCTTTGCCTTTTTCTTTCCTTCTGAGTTTGAATTAGATTTCGGATCGATTGTTTTGATGAGCTAGTCTGGCCTTTCAGATTTTGTTTTTTTTTTGGTCTGGAGAGAGGACGGAGAGGTAGGACCTAACTTTTCTCCTGGTCTTATAGCTGGGAGCTCAGGACCTGAATTCAGACGGCCCATCACTTGACTAACTATGGGAGCTTGAGCAAATTACATGACCTTTTAAAGGTTCAGTTTCCTCATCTTGAAAAAGGTAGTAAGAGTAGTATATTCCTCTTAGAGTTGTTGTGAGGTTTAAATGAGCTAAGGCACGCAAAGGCTTAGTAAAGGGCATGGTGCATAGGAAGTGCTCAGTAAATGTTAGAAACTGTGATGAATTCCACTGTATACGATGAATTCCACTTTCGATATTGCCTAAATGTCTACATAGATTTCTAAACCCTAATTCCTCATAACTACAGTGGGAGTGACAGTATGGGTCAAAATAACCAGCTACCCTTGGTGGTATCATTATGGCCTCCGTATATCTATGCTGAATATCATCAAGTTTAAGAATTACTTATAAATAATACTAAAGTACATTTTAAATCTATTTGTAGTTAAGAGGAAAATTTTACATTGCATCTTATAAGCCTTTCTTCTTATTGTACAGGTTTGATGTTGTGTGTTGTTCACCAGTTTGAAAAGTAGTCTTTCTGCTGTTTCAATATGTACACGCAGTTTCTCAGAACCTGTATAGAATCCCATTAGTCTGTCCTTCTGCCAATGGAAAGGAGGCATTTAATATTTGGGTTTTCAGTTTTTGCCTAGGAAAGGAGCTCATCACATAACTGATTTAGTGATGGGAAAATATTTGGAAAAAGTTTTAGAGGGTGGAGCTAAGGCTCAAGAATACAATGAAATAACAAAGATGTTAACCTCGAGTATGAAATGCTCCATCCAGATGTCGCTTAGTGAAGCAGCTCGTGCTTCTGGAGGAAAAGAAGCAAGGACCAAATAATGAAGAATAAATCAGTGAGAACAAGGGATGTTTTTAGGTGTTTTGTTTTCAGAATACTTTTATGAGAAAGGAAATTAACAACAGAAGGGAAATACTCCCCAATATGAATTAATGGTTTCTAAAGAAAAAAAATCATTCTAGAGATACTGAGATTGACCTAGAAATTGACCCAAGGACCAGATGCTGAAGCTTAACTTCAATTGGTCACTAGAAAGTTACTTACAAACCACAGCTGTTTTCTTGGGTTGCTGATTCTCTTTATTTGGTAATGGGGTGTGTGCAGTACGTCGATTTAAAACTATGCATTTCCATTCCATCTCTTTTGGGGGGGCAGTTGTCTTTCTTTTATTAAAGAGCTTGTGATACACAGGAAAGTGATGTAATTTCATTTGCTAGTCAAACATGTGAGGTTTCTAGATAGGCAACAAGGGCTTTTTGTTTTTCCAAGTTTGGAGAAATCTAGAAACTTAAGTGATGATTTGAAGATCAAGTAGGGAGACTAAATCAGAATAAAATCTGTTACAACTGGACGGATTGAAACTCTGGATTTCTTCTAAAGAGCCCACGCATTAATGTATGGAGGAACCTGGGAATCTCATGCTGAAGTTAAAATGTTAGGTTTTCATTTCCATTACTTTTTCCTTCCAGATGTTTGTTACTTTTGTTTTTTTAAACTTTTAGCCATTTGTAATTTAACACTTGCTTTGTTTAAACTAAAATATAACTTCAGTGTTTAGGAAGGAATATCCAATAATGCATATTGCAGATAATTGTAACTTTTACTGGAGTCAGAGGGAAAGAAATTACTTTGATATAACATCAAAAACTGTCTGCTAATGGAGTGTGTGAAGGCGAAACCATTTTCCCATAGAAACTTATAATAACAACATGCTTTGAAAAACAAGAGATGCTCCCTTTAAAACACTTGGGTTTTTGATATATGCTCAGTAATTAAAATATAAGTTTTCTGATGTATCTAATGTATTCAAAATTGGTAAGCAGTATTTTCTGAAACTATCTCCTTTGTGATATTTTGTGATAAAAATGGAGTACTTTGCAAACCCTAACAGAGCTCTGTGGGGAAACGTGGCACGTTTATTTTGTTTTTTAATAGCTTACTGCAAAATTCACTAAAGTGATTATTCATAATTGCAAGATTAAATATGAAAATACTAATAAATAAATCATACTCAGAAGGCAGGAATTGGATTTGATCATAATTTGTTCAAGATTAAGCCTTTTTGTTTGTTTGTTTGAATGTTGAAGTGCTGTTCTTAATTATTTTGTTAAATGAAGTTTTTAAAAAAGGAGACAGATAACCAACCCTACTTGGTCATCCAGTTCAGTTTGGCTGGGCCAACGTCTACCGGATCCTGACTGTTCAGGATTATACAGACATCGACTTTGGGGTCCATGGCTCAAGTGATACTGCCCCAGTACCACAATGGTCATGTGGTCTCATTAAACTATAATCAAGGAAGAGCATGTTTTTCTGCCACTTGTGGTTGAGTGGCAAGTTATAGACAGGAGGTAGTTCAGATAAAAATCCTGTCCCTCTACACAAAATAATCAGATCGATAAAATCGTGCCCAAGACAGTTATCTCAATGTCATCTAATTAAATGACAAGTATTATAGAATTCAATGACCGTTTTATATGACAGTAAATGTATTAAGGACTTTATCCATATTTACCTATGCTTACCCAAATCTGAGTAATTATGGATGGCAGTAAATATTTCTAAAATATTGGAAACCCTCATGTTGTATATAAATAAAATTATATGGTATGTATTTTTTTACTAGGTAAAACTGTTACTCCATATTTCAAGAGAACAATTTTGTTCTGTGTTGAAGGGTAGAGTCTGTTTTTAAGATTTTTTTTTAAATCAAGGAGTTCTTGATTCGAAACTCTTCAATATTTGACACAAATATTTAAACATTTTTGGTAAAATTTCAAGCGATGGGATTTAATCAAGCCTGCCGTCTCTACTCTGGACAGAAATAAGGACCTCTGCGTTTCGATGAGCTGGGTACCTTTGGGCGCGTCACCTGATTGACCCATGCTTTTTCTCCTGTTTAAGTACCTGACGGGAACCTTCCATCCGTAGCTAATGGCTGTCAAGCATTTGGGGTTGTAAAACACAAAACCTTTATTGCTACACCAGCTCTATTATCCAGAGCGGGTTATTGAGTTTGTAGGTGACCCAGCCTCCTGTCTCCCTCTTTGTTTTGTTTTTCCCCCCCACCCCCACCTCCTTTGGCCATTTCGCTGCTCTCTGGCGCCTCCACCAGATGGAGGGCAGGGCCAGGAACAGGGCGTCAACTGTGCTAAAAGGCTTGGTGGGATGGAGGCTGAAAGAAATGGCAGGCACAGGGCTTTCAGATTATTTGTTGATTTGATATATCCTGGCTACCCCCAGACTCTGTCCTTGGGGTGATTCACTGCAGCCATGACCCTGAAATTTGTTTTTCATTCATTATTTACTCTTAGGATAAATGTGATTTTAGAAGTAAGATGTCACGTCTTTTTCAGGATGCCGTAGGAAGCAAGACTCTTTTTGTATTTCCTAAGTGCTGAGGAGAGGTTGCAGGTCAGGCTTGGCTGGGCAAGTGTTTGCTCCTGTTCAAATCTAGAAGAACTGCACTAAGTCTGCTCTCACGTTAGACTCGGGTGTGGAATGACAGTTCCTTAAATTCAGGCCAAGCAAGGTTGCCTTATGAGGTTGAAAGAGTCCTCTTTAGGTGTTTAAAGATCGTGTAGCTGACCCTGACTGTGACCAGGAGAAGCTGTGGCATCACGCAGAAAACTCGCTTAGAGTATCTCTTTGAGCAGAGTATGTGCAGAAGGCGTAGCAGATGAGACGGACAACAGAGAGAAGACCCCACTGACACACTCTCTTGTTCACTTGTGCGTTGGCTTGTCTCTGGCTCGGCTGGACCCTGGAAGACCTAGGGCTCCAGCCGTGAGACCCTTTGATTTTGTGATTTTCCATTTGTCTGAACATTTTGCTCAAGTCTTCTGACAGAGTTATAGATGGAGTCCTCTGCTAGGTCCTGGAGATCTGGAGGCCGACAAGGTAGGTGGGGGCTGCCTTTGGGGCGTGAACGGTCAGGGGAGCCGACAAGGAAGACGTAATGGCCGCCCATTTGAGTACTACCCTGTGCGTTGGATTTTGTGAGGCTAAATTAAATTCCAGTTTTCTAGTATTTTGAGCTCTTTAGAATTGAACAGTCCTTCCACAGAAGTGGTTCTGTTGCTTTCCAAATCCTGCTAACATTCTGTGTCATTATTTGAATTTAGCTATATATCGTTTCTGAATTAGTTGTACTAGTGGGTCTGGGGTCATGTTCTCTCATGATTGCCACAGCAAATATCAGGGTAGTATCACATGCATACGTATTTGATTTATCAAAATAGTGAGTCAAATTTTATCTAGTTAAGATAGGCTTTCAAAGATAGGCACTAAACCGTCAAATACAGGCTCTAAAAAGAGGAGGGGAAAGGGAATCAGAAAGACCAGGATAACTCTATTGAGTCACCACCCCAATATATGTTGATCTTATTTTTTCTCTTTGTTCATGCTGAATATAATTTATATTTATCAGGTAACTTTAAAATCACTAGGTGTTAAAGTAACTAATTATATACTTTAATATTTCTGAATAGTGCTACCCTTTGTATTTAAAAACGAGCTCTTTGAGAGTCGAAAGCATATCATATTTATCTTTTGACCCTCGGCACCTAGAACCTGGGAGGCAATTCAGGAAAGTGATTAAAGTGTTCAGACTGCCCGGGTTTAGTTGTCAGCTTATCAAGGCAAGTTGCTCATTGTCACCAGCTACGCTCTCCCTGTGTGTAAAACAAAGGGTAAGAATGTTCTCATTTCATAGGGTTATTTTCTAAGAGTTAAATGAGAAGCCATCAAAAAACTTTATTCAACGTGTCACAAGCACTCAATAGATCATAGCTGTTGACGTTAGAGCAGGTCCAGGCCCATGGCAGGACTTAATAAATGTTCGGTGAATAGAATGACAGTGTGTGTAGAGCATGGTCTTTGCATTTGTGTTTCAACCCAGTAGTGAATGTGGATTTGAATTGCATTTTTGGCTTTTTTTTTTTTTAATCTGATGGTTTGTATGTTCAAGGAGGCTACACAAGGGTTAAAAAGCACAGCCTGTGGGCATCAAAGCAGTGTTTGTAATAATTTCGAATTCCAGCCTATGCCTTTCCACTTAAGAGGTAAGCTGTGAGCCACTATCACCCAGGCCCAATACAGACGTTGAATGCCTTGCCCTATGTTAGTATTTCCATTCCCTCACTCCTGGAAATAGCATTCTGCTTTCCAAAATAGACTCTAGTGCTGTACCTTAAGAGAATTTTTGTCACAGCTTTGGATCATCAGAAAAACAGAAGAGAGCTTTGTTGGCACAAAATAATTTTCTAAGGTAGTTTCTGATTTTTTCCTACAAAAACTCCTTTTAATTGCCTGTCTCCCATTTCCTTTACTCCTGATTTTTAGTACTAATGTGAAAATAAAGGAGGAAAATCAGTTAATAATCTGTTTCTTTGACTTCTTTCAAGGGGTATTTGAAGCCCTTAAAGTGACACATAAAGCAGCGGGGTGTACAGCTCGGGATTCACTGGGGAAAACCTGATACCCCAGGTTCACGTCACTACAGGAATAGCATAGGTAGCAATGTCACATAACTTAGAGGTTTAAGCATTAACATTACCAATAAAGGAAGTGCAGGTCTGCCAAGTTTCCAGACAATCCAAATATTTTCAGTCTTGAGGGAGCACCCGATTACAGGAAGCACCACAGCCCAGAGAGGTGAGAGAATTGCCCGTGGAGGAGCAGGGAATCATACGATTATGGCTGATCTGTTCTGTAAAGTACCGTTTGTTTTGCAGTCTTCATCGGTCCCTGTTCAGGATGATTCGGATGTCAGAGAAGACATATATCACCCAGTTTGTGTCAGAAGCCGATCCTGGAGTGTAATTTCCTTATTACAGAATCTCAGCCCTGCCTTTTCTTTCCTACCATCATTCTCTCAGATGGCCCGACGTCAATGTTCTTTAACATCCCTAAAGGAAATTAATGAAGTATTTGCAGGCCCAGGCCCACTCTCAGTTACTAGATCTGAGGTGGAGTTGGAGTGAATGAACATGACCATGTCTGTGGTCTCCCTTCTCTTGAGAGACTGACATTCAACAAGCAGTTCTGTTCCTGAGGCTGGGCGTGCACCCTAGGAGTTTAAAGGAAAGAATGAAAGGCTCTGTGTGACAGTGCTGTCCCTCCTCTAATGTTGTCATCCTCCTGTGCTCTAAATAAATTTTAAATTTCCCTGTTAGGAGTAATTAGAGTTTGATTTTCCATCCTTCATTCCCATTTCTTATCTTTGGACCATATATTTCCTATACCTATTGGATGAAAATGAACTCATTCCCAACCCTAATTCCTCCTTATAATTCCTTTCATTGCAGTTGGTGTAGAGTTGAATGACATTCTGGTTTTTTTTGCTGTTGGTAGAGTGCTTGTTTCTAGGCTGTCAAACCAAGGCGATGGCAGCGCCTGTGATTTTGTTTACTAATGCTCTTCTTCCAGTGGTCGCCTACTTTTTTGTGGACATTAAAACTTGTTAATGAATCAGCCAAGTGTAGGATTTTGTACACTGCTTTGTATCCCGTTTAGACAATTGATGAACTACACAAAACCATTTAAAATCCATCATTTTATAAACAACAAAATGATGACTTTGTCGAATACATAGTCTTAATCTACTTTGCTGTTAAATCACTAATCTCAGTGGAGATCAATTGGGACCCTTTTCAATGGTTGACACCTATGGGAACAGAACCTCTATTATCTTACTTGCATTCTTGAAAGCTCTTAGAAGTTCCTCAGTGAATATGTACAAGGAACTAATTCATGCCACACTCCCTTGTACCGCATAGTTTCCTGCTGTGATAAAGCAAGTGGGCTTATGTACATCATGGGATTAATAGGATGTTCAATGTTCGTAGCTTGTATAGTGTGAGAGGGCTTGGCCATACATGGTCACAGTATGAAGATTTCCCTTGTGACTGACATTTTTTTGCTAAAAAAAGAGTTTTCTGCCTGGGATTATTATAATGTGGTATGTATTCAGCATTACTACTTGCTATTCTTTTAAGTAAATATGTTACAATAAAAATTTAGACCCCACCCCCCATTTGAGAAGCTAACATTTTATATCTATAAGGCACACGCAACTTTTTAAATTTGCGTGAAAAGTGGGGTGTCTTATTTTGTGGTTTTATCTTTTCATGAATTATTTTGAGTCCAAGAAAATATTTATAGTCTTGAAACTATCTTTGGAGACAAATCTCCCAATGTATAGGAAAAAGCCGTCTCGAAAGGAGATTTCATGAGTACCCTTGGTAATGGTGTGCAAGTTTAATCACCCTCGCTGTGATGGGAGGGTCTGAACGCGGTCAACCTAAATTTCTCCTTATACGGCACTCAGTCCCTTCCCTCTTGTCTTGTTCTTAACGGGGATGCAGAACATCTGGCATGTCCCTCTTCAAAATAAATCTTCCTACTTGGGGCAGTGTAAAGTGTACACACTTCGGGTCTAACAGATCTGGGTGTGAGTCTAGGCCTTATTACACACTAGACTGGCCATTCTTCCCTCTCTGAGCCTAAATTCCTTCCTTTGTAAAATGAGGCTGAAAATCCCTCCCTCGCAGTTTTAGCCAAAATGTCTAGTTCCTAGTAAAGGTCAAAATATGGTACTTTGTGGGGCTAGCCCTGTGGTGTGCCGGTTAGGTTTGTGCGCTCTGCTTTGGTGGCCTGGGGTTCCCTGGTTTGGATCCCGGGTGCAGACCTACACACCACTTATCAAGCCATGCTGTTGTGGGCATCCCATATATAAAGCAGAGAAGGATGGGCACGGATGTGATCTCAGGGCCAATCTTCCTCAGAAAAAGAGGAGGATTGGTGGCAGATGTTAGCTTAGGGCTAACCTTCCTCCAAAAAAAAAAAAAGGTACTTTGTATTATTATTGTTAAAACCTATGAGAATATTGCCAGCTTTTCCTTTTCCACAATAATATTCCCAGATCTCTCTGACTCTGTGCTGTTTTTCTAACCCACTAATCATGGTTCTAAATGAGACTTCAGATGGTATGGTAGATGGAACAGCAGGTTTGCAATGAGAAGCCTATCTGACTTGCTTTCTGACTTAATGAATTTCTAGCTGTATGACCTTGGATAAGTCACTTAACATCCTTGAGCCTGTTTGCTCATATGTGGGATGGAGGTAATAATTGTCATATCCTCTGTGACTTCCTCTGGGTTAGAGTGAGGATAACATAAGAAAGTAACTTAAAAATCACAAAGTACCATGCAGTCGTAAAGTGATAGCAATAAATATAATCAGCAATTAAAATTTAATACTTTATAATATGGTGAATGAAATTGTTCTTGTTATTTATATAACTTGAAAAACTTAGGTTACCACCTTCAGCGTCCCCCTTGTCCTACATAGCAGTTATGAGGCATTTACTCTTTTCCCATTTCTGTTTTCATCTGCCTTTATGGTTGGAAGGCTAAAACTGACAACTTTCAGACATGTGACAGGCACATATTAAAGCAGTTCCAACATTAAAGGATTTGAATTTGTGTGCAGAGAGAGGAAGTCAACAGGCAGGGTTGGGTAAGGTTAAGAGAGGGCCTGGTACTGGAAGTGAGAGGAAAGGGGTGAAGTGACCCAGGAGAGGTGGATGCGCAGAAGAGATCTCTGCAGTGATGCACAGTAAAGGAGAGGGTTGCAGGCTTGTGTCTCCTAAGACAGTCACTGCCAAGTTCCAAACAGAAGAATGGCGTTGTCAAAACATAGCTGCATGAGAAGGGAACCTTGGGACATTGGGGATTGCCTAGAGTGGAAGGGACCTTGGAGGTTGCAGTGACCCCAGGCCATAGAGATCAATGGCCATGTCTGCAGAGGTAACAATCTAAGGGGAACATTGGGCCAGCAGACTGGTATGTGAGGGACTGAGAATGTGATGCTGGAGAAGACCACTGGGAAAGTCGGGCGTCCCAGCCGTGAGAGCTGAACCATGAGGGTGTCTGAAAGTGCTAAAATTGGGGAAAAGAGAAAGTAGAATGCGCACAGTCAGGTTTAAATGAATATTTACCTGTGCTTTTGGTTTTACTTTTTAAATCTATTGAATATGCAGTTAGAGTTTGTAGAAGCAAGAAGCTTTTCTCCATATTTGCATTGGATTAATTTTTTCGTTCTGTTGCTCTGGTTCAGTTTGGTTTCATGTTTAATTATGGTGCTAAAAGTACTTAAGTTTGGGTAGTAGAGAGTGGAATTTGGTTAAATCTCCCTGTTGATTACCTTACGTGTTTCTGTATTCTAGTAAAACTAGCCCCAGTGAGCCAGCTGTCCATTTGGGATCGTAGATGCTGCTTTCCTGCAGCCCTGTCCTCCGTGGCTGTCTGTGACCTTAGCACTTGGATCGTGTAATCGTTTTTGGCCTCCTAAGTCAGTGATTCTGAGTGGGCAGAGTGGCAGTGTGATGTCATGTCTGGGGCATGAGCCTGTCCCCTCACCACACATGGGTCCCACCCTTCCTGGTCTAGGCAACTCAATACACAGTGCTTGGCGCATAGTGAGTGCTCAATAAATTTAGTTGCTTTTCCTGTCTCTCTCTGGATCTCAAATAGGAATATCCGAATTTGAGAACGCCACCATAGCATTAGGTTCCTCCATTAAAATCCGTAGTGAAAGTGAGGCAGATGTGTGGGAATGCAGTTCCAGACTCTAGTTAATCCAGGAAAGATGATGGCACTGGGTTTACAGCTAGGCTTCCCGTGCTCGTGAATCATAATAAGATCTCTTACCGGATCAATGAGTGTTAACTTAATGCAAAGTTGACAACTATAATATTGTGACATTTGAAAGTATTCAGTATGAAAAATAGCTGATGGGGGTACATACTTCGAGATGCTTTGTGTTCTACCAAATTATTTGGATTTTATTGATCTCTCCCTTCCCCCCAGAGGTCAGAGGAAGGCCTCCACATTGTCTCTGAATTCCTAGATAGGAAAGACATCAAACTAGAGAGGAACCCTTTGATGGCCTTATATGCTTATATGTTTTAAAATAAAAAGTCTTTTTCTTGCCCTTTCTCTGGTAGAGAGAAAAATTAGACTCCCTTTCTTTCTCCCTTTCTCCTTTACCCCAAATTCCAGCAAATATACCCTTATCTTTCTCTTTTTAGTTCAGATAATTGCAGATTTGCATGCAATTATAAGAAATTATGCAGAAAAATCCTATTCAGGTTTCCCAGTTTTCTGTGTACTCATTTGTGTGCATGTTAAGTTCCACACAATTTTACCACCTGTCTAGAGTCACGTGTCCAGCACCAGCGGTTTAAGACTGTAAGTTGCCTGAGAGTGTTCGGCACATCTCGTGCGGACAGACACTGAGATGTGTCTTCTCTTCTAAATGCACAAGAACTGTGCGTGGCTGCAGGAGGGTGGAGAGTGGAAATCTGGCCCGTGGTTCCTGTGTGTGGCTCTGCAGTTGCATTCCCTCATTAGAAAGGGCTGGCTGGCCCAGGCAAAATCATAGGTGGGCTTGGCGTGCAGCTAACTGCTGGCCTGGAGAAACTTACGCTTTTGTACTGTGTTAAGAGTTCTGCCAATTTTAGAGGCCAGGAAGCCAAGAGTTGGCCTAGGAGTGTAACACACCTGCTTTTCCCGAGGCCACATACAACAGGCTGAGCTGAGTACCTGTTTGCCCTCCTGGGATATATTGAAACATGTCTCCGGACTCCTGAGGTTGTGCATAAATACTTTTTTCACTTTAGAAATTTGTTTCACACAGATTTTAGATGTCCACGAGGACAGATACTCATTGGAGAAATGTCCTATTAATTGTACTTTGGCTATTTGACCCAGTCTCTAGAATGAACTTAGTAGAATCCTGTTATCGTGAAACCTTTAGCAATATCCACATTTGGGAACGCCACAATTGCATTAGGTTCCCCAATTAAGAAAAAAATTGCACCTATCACACACACATAAACACACACATGCAAACACTCACAAAGCTGTGCTGAGGTGCAAGCACGTGGCGGACAGCCACGCTGCCTCACCAGCTAAGTGTCTCGATCCTGTACTCCAGTCTGAGAACAACTGGATGTACAGAAAGCTCAAACTGCGAATATTAAAATTTGAGGATGACGAAGGCCTCTTGTGTCCCTGTAGAGACTCCTGGAATCTGAGTGTTTGATTAGATGACCAAAATTGATGATGATGATGATGCTTGGGCATGATAACCAATGAGCAAAAAGCTGTAAATTTGACCACTACAGGGTCCTTGTAGAGAATACGTTGGGTATATTTGTTGCCGTTGTCCTCTCAGATCCTAAATCTCAGTTATGCTCTGACTTAGTCATAAAGTGCTTCTTGTCCTCTTTGGACTAATACTTTTCCTATTGGCATTTTAAAAACTCATGATTTACATGTGACGTTCTTTATCTCGGATGGAAATAATTATCTTATTTAAACAAACGCTTTTAAATCTGTTGGAGACATTTTGAAAATCTTGGAAGTTCAGAAGAAACTACAGGTTAAAGGAAAAAATTATAAAAGAATATCAGGACAGTCTACTATTTCTGCCGTAGTAAACTTCTTTGGGCCTTACTTGATCCAAATAAAAGCGGTCAGACTGCTGATGTGGCCATGGACATGGCCGACAGAAGCCTGCAGGTCTTCTTCCCGTGTCCTGGGGTCTGTCCCTGAGACCCGTCTGCACACTGCCAGAATAGTGATTTTTCTACGTATGACAGTGTTGATCTGTTTAGTGCTTGATCTGCCCAATGATAACCCTAGACTTAGCTTAGAGATTATGGAGTTGAATTCTCTCATATTGTGCAGGTGACAAAATGAAAGCTGAGTGCAATTAAGTGTCTAGCTCAAGGTCACACAACCTTGTTCGCTAGGACAAGAACCAGGTTTCCTGACTTCTAGTTCATTGCTTTTCCAGTATAGGGAGCAGCTTCCTGTCACCCCACCAGTCTTTCCTTGGTTTTCCATTTGTAATGTTGACGGTTCCTCTGACAACCCCTTCCTTCAGGTCCTGTATCCATTTCCTGGGGCTGCTGTAACAAAGGACCACAAACTTGGGTGCATTAACACAACAGAAACTTATTCTCTAACAGTTCTGGGGACCAGAAGCCCGAAATTAAGGTGTCAGCAGGGCCCTGCTCTCTCTGAAGGCTCTGGGGAGAATCTGCTCCACGCCTTTTCCTTGGCTTTTGGTGTCGCTCGTGGTCCTTGATGTTCCTTGGCTTGTAGATGCGTCAGTCCAGTCTCTCCCTCCCTTGTCAGATGGTATTCTTCCTGTGTGTGTGTGTGTGTGTGTGTGTGTGTGTGTGTGTCTTTTTCGCTTAAAAGGACACCAGTCATATTTGATTCAGGCCCACCCTGCGGACCTCATCTTAACGTGATTACATCTGCAAAGACTCTGTTTCCAAATAAGGTCACATTCATAGATACACAGGGGTTAGGACTTCAGCATTTGGGGAGGAACACAGTTCAACCCATAACAGGTCTCTTCAGCTTCAAAACCATTTTTAGAACCAGGCAGGTATTTGTACCACATGAAGAGAATCTGCAGTGAATTTCATTAAGTGTTAAAGCATCATATTCAACATTTGTAGTTTGTTGCAATAACACATCGAAAAGATTTATAGAGTGTCTTGGGTGTGATTTTTGGATTAATTCCTTGCTTTGAAACCATTTGTTGGGCCCCGTTTATTTAAAGGAGGGAATGAA